TGTATATTCCCTGGTGTGTTTGGGTGATAACACACAGAACAGACCTGTATATTTAATGAGTAAAAGCTGGTGATTAATAAAGAACGTGGAATGAAAGTGCTGGAGTTTGATGAGGATGAGGCCAAAATGTGTTTTTACTTAGCTATACTTGAGGGGGAAATTAGTCGCCAGAATTGAGCTAAATCTGACAAAATCTCCCTTGTGCAGACATTCAGGAACATTTGGAAAAATTGGACTCGATTGGAAAAACGATTCATTGATGAAATAAATGTTTCTTTTTTCTCTCCCTCTCTCTCTCTCTCTGTATATGTAAATGTTTTCTTTTAGGATTAGTACTTGGTGTGTAGTCATTATAATTAGCTTTATTTAAAAACAAAGGATGTCTACAATATGTCCTCATTGATCTATGTAAATGTGGGCATCTGGAACATTTGTTTAAATGTGAGTGGCCTAGAAACTCAATAATCATGATTTAAGTTGTTGATGGATGCTGGTTTAAATGTAACCGGTGGATGTTTCCATCTAGACCTGACGGAAATTGAGTCTAAATGACGCAGTCGGTCTAGGATCGGCCTAGAAAAGAGAGAGATGACAGACAGTTTCTACTGGAGGGAGTGACAACAATTATGGAAAAAAAGAAAAACAAACTGACCCAGGGGAAGACCAGTCCTGCTCATTTTCTGCTGAGTAAACTCAACACGTAATCATGTTTTCTCTGAAACTAATTAATTAACAACCACAGGCCAACTATGAGACAGAGAGTGAATTATAAATGGTGTTTGCTTTAAACAAACCTCTAATGCTGAGCATTAAAGTTTAATTGTGTGTCGTCCTGCATCGTTTGTGCTCCAGTCATGAATGATTCTTCAAATCATGTGTCTTAAGTGATCAGACACAACATTTTTACCTGCTGGACCATAAAACAAGCGAAAAAAATCCAATTGAAGAAGGAAGCAGAGCCACAGATTACAGATATTCACATGTGACAGTAAGAGACCATGTGGCAACGCACCTAGCAACTAATGAACACCCTAGCAACGCCCTGGAAACAATCCAAAATCACTGCAGTGAGTTTTATATTTAAACATGTATTTATGCAATATACTATTTTACATTTTCAGAAAACTAAAAATAAGTCTAAGTATTTATTTTTAGATATTAAGTCTTGTTTTCTGAACATTTTATAAAAATTACAACCCAATCCTTACAGTGAGTTTTGTAGAGAAATGTAAAAATGTATTTATGTAATCTGCAATTTCCAGCTTTTTTTATTTGAAGTGGATACACTACAAAGAAAGAAGTCTTGTTTTTCAGATATAACAATTCTTCAATCAGGATTAATTTACTTGAGAAGCAAAAATTACTAAACATAAAAATATATATTTTCTGAAAGAATATTAAAAAAAAGTGTTTTCATGCTTAAAAAAAGAACAAATATCTACCAGTGGGGTCAGAAAAATAATCTTGTTTTTCCTTTGAATCGAGTTAATTCTTCTGATCCAACTGGCAGATATTTGTTCTTATCTAAGTATACGTCATTTTGATACATTCTTATTTTTTGATACATTCTTATTACCTCAAGTCATTTTGTATCTCAAGTAAACGTATCTTTAAGAAAGTCTAGATGTTTGTATCAGAAAACAAGACATGATTCGCACAAGACAATAAGAAACCTTAGCAACCACCTTAGCAACGCCCCGTTAACAACCCACAACATCATTGCAGTGAGTTTTGTACAGACAACATCACTCATATTCTCTTCAGAAAAAGTAAAACCTAACTTTCTACTCAAATCTTATAGCTGCATTCACAACCGATTTTTCCCCAACTCTTCTCTTTTCACCTTTCCTCTTCCCTCTCTCTCAAAATCGCATGTTATGGCTAAATGCCCAATGAGTCACAACTCTGGTAAACCCATCAGAGAGGAAAGAAACAAAGGGGGAGCAGGAGAGAGAGAGAGAGAGGGCAGAGACCAGGGTTCATTCTCCACTTCCAGTCCAGTAGTTCATGCGTGCATGTCACTAGCGTTTAATCTTCAAAGAGCAGCGTGCACACACACACACACACACACACACACATAGAGCTAAATAACATTAGAGTTCTGTATCACCAGTACATGCCCTACCCATCACTCCCTTCTGGTTGCCAGTGGAAACCACACAAACAATCCCTCTTGGGCAATAGCAGGAGTCAGCAGAGGATGCAATGCTCTCTCTCTCTCTCTCTCTCCATTGTGTGCTAGATGGCATGCACATAAATATGCATGCGTGTGTGTGTTATTGTCTGGATTACATTTAATTCTTTCATTTATATGAAGTGTGTTTGGCCTCAAAAATGTGATGATGTCACGTTCTCTGGCAGAGTTGAACACTTTGAAAGTGTTTGAGTGCATGAGCGAGAGAAACATTTAAAAACTGTGCAAAACGTCGTAATCTGACAATCAATTTGACAACATCAGGGATGTTAACAAAATGCTGAACAAAGAGCGCAGCTTCCAGCGAAGTGTGTGTTTATCTAACGCACATGCAGGGCCAGTGAGTGACCCGCACACAGACAAATTACCATCGAATGACTTTCTAGTGTCCAGCAGGCCGTATCATTCAATCTATTTGTTTTTCCTTTCAATAAACTGAACCATCTGCCTTGATTTTCACCATTAATAAACCATGAAAATCATATTGTTTGGATTTCTGTTCAAGTGTATACACATAAGGATTATTGTCTCTTTTTGTCATCTTCAGTTGTTTTGGCTAAACTAGACAAATTGTACATGGTCTAAGCTATAAAATTATTAGAAAATTAAAGTAGTGACTGCCTGTGCAAAAGTCAGAAGAAGCCCCCCCCCCAAAAACTCAATTTATTTTTCCAGTTTTGTCGTGTACAAGGTTAAACTTAATTAAGTGCGAGCACACACATTTTTCCCCAGAAAGCAGACGAGAGGAAGAGGTTGTGTTCCCTCTTAAAACCTAATTATGTGCCCCCTACGGCTCACTACTACATATCTGCACCAGTTCCGAGGATATAAAGCTTCTTTTAAAAGGGTCCTATTATGCTTTTTCACTTTTTTAATTTTAGTCAGTGTGTAGTGTGTATGTTTGGGCGTAAAAAAAGATCTTCAAACTTGCAAATCTCAAAGTCCACTCCAAAGGGAGATATTTCGTTTTTTAAAAATCCCTTTTCAAGAACTACAACGAATGGCTCGTTTGGACTACAGCATTTGTTTTCTGTGTTTTGTGATGTCACAAAGCGGCCCATTAGAATATCATAAAAATAATTCCCGCCTACGGAAATTCTAATGGTTGGGGGGTGGGGAGGGGCGAGGTCGTGGTTAGAACGCTTGGTTGAGTGCATCAGACAAGACGACGATGAAGAAGTGCTGCTGTAGCATCGAGTTTTCGCAAGTTATTACACATGCACCTGAATAATTATGTATGTAAATATGTACGTTACAATTATGAAAATGTTTTTATAATAAATTGCTGGCAGTACAATACTGGACAATGATGAAATCTGCAGAATTTACACTTCAATTATGAGACTACAGTGCTTCCCATACATTGAGTGTGGGTGTTTTTATATCACTGTATTTCTGAAGGAAACCGACTGTCTTCAGAAAATTGGACGTCATTTTCATTTAATCTTGCATGTAATGTCTGATAAAGCAGTGTTTCCTGCTGGCAGAGAATGAGTTTGCATATATATGCTGCCAAAAATAAGAGTGCAAGTCTGTGGGAAACACTGGACTATGGTATAAATAAATTCAACTGTATAACAGTTTCACTGCAATTCATGTTATAATGTTAGAATGAAATAACAATAAAAATAATACATATGCACTTATCTGTACATAGTAAATGCAGTTATTTTTAAGCGGTTGATGACATCCTATCTAAAACGTGATTTAGCCAAAAAAAAAACAACAACAATAACGTTACCACTCAAATATGTCTTGCAATATCCATGCATGCAAAGGTTCTGTGCGATCCTCTCGTTCAATATTCTCTGGGTCTGAATCCGGCTCATGCACACATGCACACACTGTAAACGTATGTGTCTTCTCGTGTACTTGTTCAAACACAGCTGCTCTTAGTTGGTGACAGAAGACACAGTGAATCAATACACTTAGAACTTGACATGCATGCAGAAGTCTTTTTCGTTCGACACTATAGATCATGACATACTCATAGATCGATTACAAAACTATACAGGTATTCAAGGGCAGGCTTTAAGATGGTTTAGATCCTACCTGTCCGATCGCTACCACCTTGTTCATTTAAATGGGGAGTCATCTCAATTATCACCAGTAAAATATGGAGTGCCACAAGGATCTGTCCTAGGTCTTCTGCTATTTTCGATATACATGTTGACCCTTGGTAATATTATTAAAAAATATGGGATTAGTTTCCACTGTTATGCCGATGATACTCAACTATGTATCTCAACAAGACCAGATGAAACTTCTAAATTATCTAAGCTAACAAAGTGTGTTAAAAATGTAAAAGATCGGATGACCAATAATTTTCTCCTACTAAATTCGGATAAGACAGAGATATTACTTGTTGGACCAAAAGACAGTACACCGAATCGCGTGGATTACAATTTGCAACTAGACGAATGTACTGTTACTTCCTCTACAGTCAAAAATCTGGGTGTTACTTTAGATAGCAACTTGTCTTTTGAAAATCATATTTCCCATTCATGCATTCTAGACTGGACTACTGTAATGCACTGCTAGCTGGTTGTCCTGCATCTTCAATAAACAAGCTACAGATAGTCAGATAGTCGGAAGCATTTTTATGGATTATAGACTTATGCCAGAAGCAACGGTTTAAAATTAAAATGCCTTAATGATGGATTTGTTTCTTAGAAACATGCAGCTTTTCACTACATAAGATGTTAACTGATGGGCTGGAGTGGTGTCTGTGGATTACTGTGTGTGATGTTTTTATCCGCTTTTTGGACTCCATTCTGACGGCACCCATTCACAGTAAACTATTCCGTTAATCAAGACGTGCAAAAGATCTACCAGGGTTTGGTCTTTTCTTGTGGGCATAAACCAGAGCCATGAGCACACCGAGGGAAACGTCTCCTCTCTCCTTCAGCTGCTCCAGCTCCTGAATGGCATCCAACACTTGCTCTACAACAATAAAATAACAAAGAAAAAACCGACGCCAAGGGATTCAGATCATTTCTCAAGATATCACATGAAGACTAAGATGGAAAATGGCGGGCTTTCCTCACCTTGCATGAGCAGCCCATAAGCGTGGAGGAATGCGAAGACTGAATCATGACTGAACTTCCGTTGAGCTTCACTGGAAACATCTACAACATGACTGGAGTACTTTTCCTGGCAGCAGTATAAGATCAATGCCTGAAATTCGCAATAAATTCAACGGGGTTAACCGAAAATGTAAGTATGTCTAATAGTACACTGTGTGCACTGACTATATGTATGTGTATATTGCACACTGTCATCTGTTGAGGTCTGTATGTTTATATGTAAATTGTTTCTGCACTGTCTGGAGCACGCTCCCAAGAATTTCACTCACCAAGGCACATGTGCTGTGACAATAAAAGTGACTTGACTTGAAAATACTGTATTTTTTACGCTGATTAATTGGGTCAATCCTACTATGCAGCGCATTTTAATTATTCCAGTATACTGGAAAACCATATATTATTAAACAAGCAACTTTTCAGATCAAAACTTGACTAGTCATTTATAAAAAATAAAATATTATAGGCGTTTCTTTACTCTGTAAAACGTTCTGTATCATATGTAATACATACATTTCTAAATAAGCCTCTGATAAATGATCAACATGTCAAAACTTCGCTGTTGTATCTGTCATCTGATTGATAGTTTAGAATTTTTAGCAAGTAAATGGCCTTTTAGTTTAATTGTAAAAACATCCACCTTTAGCTTGTGGTTCACGGGTCTTTTTTCTGTGAAATCTTTTCTGATTTCATAAAGTAAACATAAGAATAACTTCTCTATTGTTAGTAATATTTCAAGATGAACACGTACTGGACTGAACTTGAAATTATTGGGCATAATTATCCGTACCAAAAAAGTGAGTTCAAACACCATAATGCTCTTGAGGAACATATTTGTTTATATCTCAATCATCATTGTGAGTATGAGCTCCATCACTATATCATATTATTATTATACGAGCCATAAAAGCTTGATGCTGCAAATATGATAACATAATAAACTGTTCCATTACTAAAATAGATTTTTCCAACTATTACTTCATGTGTCAGGCTTTACAGGGTTGCTTTTTTGTCTGAAACAGTACGTTAAGTTATGTTTCTTTGAGTATGACTGTTTCAAATGATATTTAATTTCATTTTAATTTAGTCCCTTCCTCTAACTTATGCAGATCTGAAACATCTCACAAACTACATGTATTTCCACAAAACATGCTGCATTGTTATTATTATTATGAGCACTAAACGATCATTTTTCATGACTTACAAGCGCGCATTCCTCATCATCAACCCCCGCCATAATGTCACACCCTGCAGCCGTCAGAACAACCCTGGAAACATACAAAACAGACGCTTCTGTGCGGAGAGGGTCTTTCTATCCCGTTCTCGCTACCTTTGATAAGCAGATGAAGCATCATAGTAACCAAACAAACTCCGCTATTTCCGCTTGGAAACCAGGAAGTGACGACTCAGTGGAACAGTGGCGCACTTCTACTTGCTCACCGCAGGGTGGCGCCACAATCTCGTTTTTATTTGTGTGTAGCCATCAGTTACAAATATTTAGAACATGTACATTTATGAATATAGGTCACTCTTTGAACTTAGACCCTTCTCACTGTAAATGTATTATTAATCTTTTGCTATATCTTGCTACATTTTACATTCATAAGTGTACATTTTCTAAAAGAAAACTCCCTACGTTTTTTATGTTCAGGAACGATTTTGATGTGCATGTAAACTCTTTAAGAAACTCTAATAATTCTATTGCATGTAAGACTCTTTCATGGTGTGAGTCTTATAAGCTAACATAGAATGCTTTGGACTATTGTTTGTAACCCTTATTGTCTTTTGTTCTTACTTGTCTTTGTAATTGTGTTTGTTGTTCTTCTATTGCATAAAAAAAAAATTATGAATATATATATTCATATGGCGTTAAAGGATTTTTAGGCTGCATTAATTAGGTCAACCAGAACCGGGAACACTTCTCATAACACCCGATGTACTTGCTACATCACTAGAAGAATGGCATCTACGCTAATATTAGTCTGTTTCTCTCTTATTCCGAGGTCACCGTAGCCACCAGATCCAGTCTGTATCCAGATCAGATGGTCACTGCAGTCACCTGGATCCAGTACGTATTCAGACCAGATGATGGATCAGCACCTAGAAAGGACCTCCACAGCCCTGAAAGACAGCGGAGACCAGGACAACTAGATGAGCCCCAGATACAGATCCCCTATAAAGACCTTGTCTCAGACGGCCACCGGGACAAGACCACAGGAACCAAATGAGTCCTCTGCACAATGTGACTTTGCTGCAGCCTGAAATTGAACTGCTGGTTTTATCTGGTCAGAGGAGAACTGGTCCCCCGACTGAGCCTGGTTACTCCCAAGGTTTTTTCTCCATTCTGTCCCCAATGGAGTTTTGGTACCTTGTCCGTGTCGCCTCTAGCTTGCTTAGTTGGGGACACTTCATTTCCAGCGATATCGTTGACTTGATTGCAAAGATACTATTTAAACTGAACTGAGCTGGATGATGACATCACTGAATTCAATGATGAACTGTCTATAACTGAAAAATGAGTGTTTACTATTGTCATTTTGCATTATTGACACACTATTTTTATACTAATTACTGTTCAGTTGCTTTGACACAATCTGTATTGTTAAAAGCGCTATATAAATAAAGGTGACTTGACTTGACAA